TCTATGTAGTGTGCGATGGCGTAGGTGCCAGCAGCACTGTAGAGCAGAGTGCGCAAACCATCCCACAGATCGAATAAACCGACCATGTAGAACAAGGAAACGGCGATAATGAAGACATTTTTCTTCCAGGGGTGAGCGTCAGGAATTCTCTTAAGCAGACCGGCCAAAGGGTAGGAGAGCAGGAATGATGCAATAAGCTTGACTGTAGTTCCGAGGGGGAAAAATAATCATTAACAACAGAGCTATGTTGAAAGAAGCTTAGGAGATAACTTACGCTCATCCACCGAAGCTCCTGTGAGCCTTGCAGGATACCCGAATACTATACACGATCAACATCATCAGTATCTGCCTTTTTTGAGGTACCTTGGATGCAATGTGAATTGTTGGGATTTAGCGGTGGGGAGCCTTTCAACATACTAGTATCGACGTAAGGTAACATTATTGGCGGTATAGTTCATGAAAAGAACTTTACAAGATGAGAAAAATAAAAAGAAGGACGGAGAAGATCCGTAACTAGGTGAAGGATCGTTCTAGGACGACATGGATGCGAAAAGGATATGTTCATCAGGTTACAGATAGAAATGAAAGAATAGAGAAGCACATGGCATGAAATCATCGCGAGTGGAGAGCTTCACATGGCTTGGCTTAACAAGTAACTCCCATTCCCCCTTGTGGTCTGTCTCTGTCTTATGACGCATCCAACGCACTTCTATCTACTCTACCAGAGGTATTTGCTAATCATTGATCCAACTAACTATTGGCTTTTCTACCTTAACTTGATCTGCTGAGTTTCTATATCCGATATTTCGTCAAAACACTTACAACACCCCACATAGCCAACGCGCCCACTTGGGCTGCATCATCACCACTATCATGGACGTCGTTGCTGCAGTATCCGGGTACATCTCCAAGATGGTCACCACGGGAGATACAGCATCGGCAACAGGATCTTCATCGTCAACCAAGATGAAGATCTTGCTACTCGACAGTGAGACAGTGGGATCTGCGTTCTACTGCCGAGTGCAGTGAAAGCTCAATTTGGAGGCTGACTCTTATAATGCACAGATGCCCATTGTATCGACGGCTATCACACAATCAGCGCTTTTGAGTCATGAAGTATACCTGATCGATCGCCTGGACAATGCCGCCCGCGAAAGGATGCGACATTTGCGCTGTCTGTGCTTCGTGCGCCCGTCCCCGACTTCCATCCAATTCCTCATCGACGAGCTTCGTGAGCCCAAGTACGGAGAGTACCATATTTACCTGAGCAATATTATTCGCAAGTCTTCCTTGGAGCGACTGGCAGAAGCAGATGGGCATGAAGTGGTGCGCGTGGTGCAGGAGCACTTTGCCGACTTCCTTGTCGTCAACCCCGACCTGTGTTCCCTGAACCTCGGGTTTCCTAACCAGCGATTGTGGAGCCACTCGCCGGACCTGTGGAATGCAGACGCTTTGCAGCGAGCGACGGAAGGCGTGATTGCCCTGTTGCTGGCGCTCAAGAAAACCCCTCTGATCCGCTACGAGAAGAACAGCTTGTTGGCTAAGAAATTAGCTACAGAGGTCCGCTACCAGGTGACCCAGGAGGAGCAGTTGTTCAATTTCAGGAAGACCGACACGCCTCCTATCCTGCTTATTCTGGACCGGAGAGACGACCCCATCACACCTTTATTGACGCAGTGGACGTACCAGGCGATGGTTCACGAATTACTGGGAATCACCAACGGAAGAGTAGACCTGCGCGATGTGCCTGACATTCGGCCCGAGCTTCGGGAAATCGTCCTTTCGCAGGATCAAGATCCGTTCTTTAAGAAGAACATGTATCAGAATTTTGGCGACCTGGGTCAGAACATCAAGGAGTATGTTGAGCAGTATCAGACGAAGACTCAGAACACCATGAACATCGAGTCCATTGCAGACATGAAGCGCTTCGTGGAAGATTACCCTGAGTTCCGCAAACTCTCCGGTAATGTGAGCAAGCACGTCACGCTGGTCGGCGAGCTCAGCCGACGAGTGGGGGAGGATAACCTACTCGACGTTAGTGAGTTGGAGCAGAGTTTGGCCTGCAATGACAATCACGCGAATGACCTCAAGGTATGTCGCGGCCTGAGCCTCTAATACTTAGTACAGTCAATACTCATGAATCGTTGTAGACACTACAGAGAATCATTCAGCTACCGACGGTACCGGCGGATAACAAGATCCGCTTGGTAGCCTTATACGCCCTCCGATACGAAAAGCAGCCTTCCAATGCCCTTCCGGTTCTGCTTGACCTCTTGGTCACAGCAGGGGATGTTCCCTCCTACAAGGTCAATATCATACCGAAGCTTCTTGCCTATCATCACTCTCTCCAGGCGCCCCCTGTTGCGGGTGGCTTCTCGGATCTTTTCGAATCAGCCTCGTTATTCTCAGGGGCTCGGGACCGCTTCAAGGGGCTCAAAGGTGTCGAGAATGTATACACACAACATTCACCGCGACTTGAGGTGACACTACAAAATCTCATCAAAGGCAGATTGAAAGAATTACAGTACCCCTTCCTGGAAGGCAGTAGCCACATTCGGGAGAAGCCACAGGACATCATCATCTTTATGATCGGCGGTGCAACCTACGAAGAGGCCAAGATGGTGGCCCAAGTCAACGCCAGCTCACCTGGAGTGCGTGTGGTATTAGGAGGCACCACCATCCACAACAGTACTTCCTTCTTGGAAGAAGTTGACGATGCTGTGAGCGGGTGGCCTGAGCCCGGCCCTTCCACAGCCGCTGGACGGCTTCGGAGAGAGATCGGACGATAGATGCCGATCAAATTGTCTGCCTTACGGAGTACAGTTCGTCACTGGGCGCTGGCGATTGACAAATGGCGGCATTCTTCTGCTAAAGTAAATAGTTATTATATCCCTGATGATGCCATTGATCTCACAGTTCATGAATAGAATGAGAGAGCATAAATAAGTAAAAGTCGATTTTGTTTACTCGCGGAAATAAGCTGGCCGGTATGCCTGTATAGAGTGCGTAGTTGTGTCAACCCCTGGATTTTGCCTGTGGAGATATTCCATCAACCTCCGTCATCCTTACTACCCCCACCTACAGCCATGTCATGGACACACTCCCCTGACTCCCATATCCCGGGGCAACAATATTACTCCTCGATGGATATTCATCCTTCACCACCCAAGCCGATTAATGCTTTGTCGCCTTCTGCAACCGCCGCCCGAGAACCGAAACTCCAGCTCCCCTCTACAACCGATCCCCCAGGGCCGCAGAACCCGCCTAAGCAGCTCGTATGGCTGGTACGTCTACCACTATTCTTGTTCGAATTGCATTGTGCGCACTGACAATGTGCTGGACCGGTAGATCTTCGGCTCCACAGGCCATATGGGCCGTTCACTCGTCAAGACCGCCCTATGTCGCAATGACCTCGTCGCAGCGGTCGGACGCACATTCGAGAACAGCCCCGAATCAATGAAGAAGCTGGAAGAGGAACACGAGAACTGCCTCGGGCTGCTATGCGACGTTCGCGCGCGCGAAACAGTCAAGAAGGTCATCGACCGGACGATCGAGCGGTTCGGGCGCATCGACATTGTCGCCAACTGCGCCGGGTACGGCGTGATCGGCGCGTGCGAGGACCAGGACGAGTACGAGATCCGCGACCAGTTCGAGACGAATTTCACGGGGACCCTGAACATGATCCAGCTGTCGCTGCCGCATTTCCGCGAGCGCCGGTCGGGCCGGTATCTGATCTTTAGCTCGACGTCGGGCGCGCTGGGCGTGCCGGGGTTGGGGCCGTACTGTGCGTCGAAGTACGCGGTGGAGGGCCTGATGGAGAGCATGCTGTACGAGGTGGACAGTTTTAATATCAAGGGGACGCTCGTGGAGCCGGGCCATATGCGCCGCGACGACGTGGGGGATCTTGTCTCGCACACTGCTACCATGCCCAGTAACGAGCATAACCTTGCGTCGCCGCTGCCGCTGTACGGCCACTTCTTCGTCAAGCAGCCTAGCGAGCCGTATAATACCCCCACGGCGCCTGCGGCGCATGCAAGGCGCATGCTGATGTGGCTGGGCGATAAGCAGCCCGCCAGTGCGGTCAAGGCGGCCCATCTGGTTTGGCAGCTGGGCCATTGCTCCTATCCTCCGCTGAGACTGGTCCTGGGGACCTACGCGGTTGAGAGCATCCGCGACAGACTCAAGTGCATCATCGAGGAGATCGAGGACTGGAAGTATCTCAGCTTCCCTGTGGGCGATCAGCCGGGCTCCTCTACCGGGAAAGACAAGCCATCAACGGAGAGCAGTCACAAACATGATCGAGAAACGGCCACCTGATCGAGCATGGTTTTGTCCTTTGCGACTATCGTATATTTCAATTTGAACGTTGTCCTGCCGCTGCTCCTTAGGCAATAAGACTGGACAAGTATCCAGCTCCATCGTGGGAATTCCGGTTGAGCGACTGTGAGCCCGTCTGGCCACTGAAGGCTTTCACTCACCCTCCCCTGAAGGGCACATCTGGAGGATTTATTATGATCCTCTTGGTCTCTGCGAAGCACTTTGCCGCTTGAGTACATCCGAGGTCCTCGTATATATACATATATGCATGTTGCATTCCTGTAATACGTGCTGGAGACTTCACGTATGGATTCTCATCTCAGGAGAGTTTACGGTTCACGGAAGACATGGAATAAATGATGTCTATATATATTTTCATTTCTAGAGTGCCGCATGTACAATGTGGAACTCGATGTTTATAGAACAGAATAACATATGCATCGTTCATAGCATAGGTTTTCGATACCGCCCCATGCAATAAAAGAAGCAACCACATTATATATTCAGGTCAGAAGCCAATCCATAGTACACCTCAGCGAGAACGCTCAAGCGGCTGGCGCGACTTTTCAATCATACAATTCAGAAGTGGGAAGTTGAGGAGTAATCATACACGTTGTTCATGGCTGTCGTCAAACCAGGTCGTCCCAGGGCCGCAAATCTGTACATTGAGAAGATCACACAAGTTAATCACAAGCATGCATGATACATGTCTCTCTGGCATGCCAGATCCGTCTTCTTCGAGTAACGTCTAATCCAAACGAGTCTCTGATGGCCTCATCATCGTGTAGTGCGGGCGCATCGTCCGCCGGCTTCTGATCCTTCTCCAATCCAGGCGTCGATCTCAGGGTTCGCACTTCTTCAATACTTGCACCGACTTCGTACTCTCCGTGGCAGAAGATGGTAACTCCAATGGTGACACTAGTGCCCTCTCCACTGGGCAAGATAGGCAGCACTTGCTGCAGCATGCCGGTCCAGGCCAGCCTCCTCGAAAGATCAAGAGCAACGTTACTGGGTTGGTGGCGAAGACTGGGTTGGAGCCGGAGAAGTGGATGGATTGGCTTTGAGGAGCGGTTCCGGACGGTAACGGTGAGATCGAGCATCTCGTCGGTCTGTACCTTATATTTTGACCGCCCAATCTGCATCACTTCATCAATGCTTTCCGCGGTAGATGCCTTCTGTTTCGGAAAGGAGGGGCTCAGGGAAAAGCTGATATCCATGGCTTCGAGCCGAAAGGCGTCCACCATCCGCGCGTTCATTCGTATACCTCTTAGCTCAATGACTCCCTTGTGGCCAGAAGTCGTGGTGCTCTCTTTCCAGACGCCAGAGATCCTTTTGAGCAGTTCCTCCCGGAACCAGAAAGCCTCCCGTGACGCTGCTTCTGCCTCGAAGGTGAGCTTGTTTGCACTCACGACAAACTGCCTCTTGATTCCAGTATTCAGAACCGGTATCGAAGCATGTGGATTGTCCACGTAGACACAAGGGAGGACAAGAACAAAGCGCGAGATCTGACCCGGCTGTAGCTCTCCCGTGATGGTGTACTGTCCAACCTTGGGAGTGACTTCCTCCGCAGAATCCCCTTCCATTGGCTGCTCGCTCACTTGTAAAGTGACTGACAAAGGATTCGGCCAGGCGTTTCGCAAATCAAGTAGCAAGATGCAGTGGTCGTACCCGTATGCGCCTCGTCCCAGTTGAGATAGCACTGGGGCAAATGGGTCGTTGTCCGTGGAGCTGTTCCCGACAGAGTCCAGCTCCAATCCCTGGCTGTTCCGCCATGCGAAGTCACTGCTAAAAGGTAAGATGTCGCAACGAGCCACTTCAATGCTAGCATTCACCGTCACGGTAAGCGGTATGAACAACTGCCGCGTGTAGAACACCTCCGGTAATTGGCCGTTGGAAAGCCCAATATAGGAATAATCAATCTGCACAGTCGTATCTTGCAAGCCCGGTTTGCCAACGATGTCGAGAGAAAACGTCGCACTTTGTCCCGCATCAATGACAAGGTCGTCCGGTGAAGAACCCTGTCGGCGCCACCGCAGGCCTGGTTTCGTAGATAATTGCAGTTCCAACTCGTACACTTCTACCGGCAGCAGGTCTTTGTTTGTCAGCGCGGATTGAATCTGTCTCGTAGTGGAATCATGAAACGTGAAAGTTATGAAGTCAAGGGGGCAACTTGACGTGTTACGCAGCGTGATGTCGAAGGACTGGGTTTCTCCTTCCAGCACCATCACCGCTGATTGCGACAATGACATCGACTCAATCACAAGGGACGGCTGTTGGCCAATGACTTTGACTTCACAGGACATCGTCTCGGGGCCTTTCTTCGGCTGCTGTTTCCCATCTTTCGAAGTGGTTGAGCTCCACGACAGCGGCCGATCTGTCAAAGGTTTTTTAGCCGCGAGACCCGTTCGCTTGAACTTCGCTTCAATCTCTGGTTTCCAGAATTCCTTGAAAATCGGGAATTTGCGTTCCCTGCAATATCGCACTTTAACAATACAGCCGGTGATATTAACTGTCCCTTCTGTAGGCGCAGTTCCGATAACCGTCACTTCTTGTAGACAAAGCGGTGGAAGAATTATCCATTCTGCAACAGCATCTAATGGCACACCTTCACCATGCAGACGAATCCGTTCGATCTCGATTTCAAACTCATAGGGGTTTTGAAGAGTAACTGTGAATGCTGCATGCTCACCGGCGATCATGAGCGACTCCGAGATTTTACTGCTTGTTTTAGAAAATGGGTTGTATAAGAATGGGTCTTTTGATGGCTTGTCGCCGTTGCCTGAGACCACGTCAAGGTGTGACTTGGAACGTCGAACAGGTCTCTTAGTGTCAGGTAGAGCAAGGAGCCGTACGTCACGCACGAGGAAGTCATCCCAGTATTCTGCTTCTAGATCTGAAGCGCCAAGCTTATGAGCAGCGCCCACTGTTCGTTTAATATTGTTCAATAGGCGAACCTGCTCGTCTTGCGGCAGAAACGGAGGCTGGTAATAATTTTCAGCAAGCATCAGGTCTCCCCGAATGGTTTGGAGCAGTTCAACTGTGAACCGGAGAACACCGGTGAAATCAGGAAGCGCCTCGCAGCAGTTGATGCACGCTTTGAGAGCGTCTATTTTCAAGTTCAGGTCACCATATCTGTCCAGGGCCACATGGCGAAATGACCGCTCAATAATGGCCGCGATAGAGTCATACTCAGGGATTGGGCCCGTCCCACTTGCAGTCGAGGAACGTTTCTTCTCCCACTCATAGAATGGAGATGGTTGAACACCATATATCTCCCCTATGAGGCCCAAAAGGGCACGCATACTACTTTCCATATTCCCTGATCCAACATCAAGCGCGTTGATATCAAATGCCGTATCACTGAGCGATGCCAACCCAGCGGCGGGGTGAATCCCAACTTCTGCAGCACCGATTTTGCGAGCCTGAACGAGAGTTGGGACTATTATCGAAAGGAATTCCCGCAAAATGAATGCTTTCTTCCGCGGTAGATCAAGCGCATTCAGTACAGACACGACTCCAACGATAATCGGTATAGTATCTGTTGCAGGCAGATCTGAGCTAGGGGAGAGTGGCAAAGCACGGAACAGGAAACTCGCAATCTCTGACTGGCGGAGGATGATCAAGCCACGAGGACGTTCGGGCCGATGCAGTGGCAGCAAAGGCTCGTTCATTACGATGTGCTTCAAAGCATTGTCGTCCAGAGCGCCATCCCGTATTCGCGCGGCTACCAGCAACCTTGAGAGCCGGATTACTGTCTCCGAAAAGACAAGCTGGGGCACCGGCTCATCTGTAATGTTGGAAGCACGATTGTAGAGATGAAGGATATTGTTCGCAAGGTCGGGTAAGAGGTTAGCGAGATTTTGAAGGGAGATGATGCGGTTCCCAGGCGTAGACTGTCCCACTTCAAGGGCACTGCTTTGGATTGTTTTAGAGGATTTATCGGCGACCGGGTAGCAGATCGGAGGTATCTAACCCACGGGGATCAGTGGAATGGGCGCAGTGAACAAGAAGACTAGGGTATAGAACACACCTGGAAATCCATGCCTGCCCATGCAAACATGAGAAGACAAAGAAGGATTGACTCGAGAGCTTTGGCATGCCACACATAATCACTGCTTGCCCTGGCATTTGTCGCTGCTTCTACCAATTCTTTAAGAGCGTCTGGCCATCTTCCCGTCTGAAGAAAGAGGGTCCCAATCACTACTCCCGTACGGCCTTTGATCCGGTTTTTCGTGCGATCAGTAGCACTCACTCCGCTCACTGACATTCGATCACGGCTATGCTCTTTCGAGGTCGGCAGAGAGTTGGGTTTGCCAAAGGTACTTGCGCGGTTAGCCAGCTGGATAGACCGTGTAATTTCGTCAAAGGTCGTAGGTGTCTCATGCTCGCTCGGACCAGGCGAGCTCTTATTGGAAGCCAAAGAAGTTTCAGGTGCATCATTGGGGTGGGATGGGAGATGCGCAGGCAGTGTCATCCGGTGAATCAGCCTGTCGGCAGGCCTTGCGCGCAAGTCTGGGCCACGATGTGGCCCCCAAGATGAGGCTCTGGGAGATTCAATAAAGGGGATGCTTTGAATCGTCTTCGCGAACTCGTCAAGTTCAGAAAGCAGTATCGACGTGATATCACACAACGCAGTCTTTATCGTCGTCGCCTTAGACGCTTCAGGTCGGGGAACCCATATGATACCGTCGGGACCACTCGAAAGCTTGCTCACTCCCTCACGATCAAAGATCAAGAGCTGGTGAACCAGAGCCCGAGTGTTTTTCTCCTTGACCAAGCGCAGTCCGTCCAACAGTTCGTCTAGCCCGGGTTGCATTCGATCGCCGGACCTTGTGGCTGAATCTGCCTCACTCTCTTTATTTTCTTCAGGCAACTCGGCTCCATCCGCTATAGCTATGACGACCAAGGGTTCTCGGAAGATTTCGAATGGGAACAACTCTAAATGTGATATGGGAGGGACGGAAAATGTAAGGTCATATATTATCATCCCAGTTGGAAATGCAAGCGGTGAAAACATATCTAACAGGAAAATCAGTCAATCATTGCACCCAACGTCATAAACTTGTTGTATTCTTTCTTCCTCGCGGAAGAAGCGACAGTGCCTACTTCGATTGGGTCGCGCATTGGGGCTGATATCTCCCAGGCGGACAACATTTTCCGCCTGTAGTCTTGCAGCGAAGCTAAGGAACCTCGAGCGTTTTATCCTCCCGACAGGAAGCAGCAGTGCCCTCAAACGCGCGGGCGCAATGGGGGAAAGGGGATCCACGGCCATGTTGTCATCGGAAAGGAGGCGGGAGGGGAGGCAGTCGGCGATATGCTCTGGACTGCTTCCACAAGGAGACACCCAAGCTCATAAAAATCATACAAGAAGATAATTTTGAAAATCAGTGGATGGCGTAAGAACCAAAGGAAGAATCAATGCCAGTCCAACTGTCCTGATCACAAATTAGTGACCGTTGGGTCACTCTTTGGCTGAAGCAACAACAACAACACCACCAACTGATAATAATAATGATCCACAGCGATTCGATAATCACGGCGCTTTTGGTATTCCTGGTCCGCCGTAGTGTTCCTGTCCTCGGATAGTTAACTAGTTAACTAACTAACTAAGGATGATTATGTAACCCCTTGCACGTGGCGATAAGCAATATCAGTGGGGTGCAAAAAGTATTCGACCACCCCTACCTTACCGCCTACTATTAGCTAACCTGATTAGGAAGGATTTTGTTTCCATTATAACTAATATTTCGTATACTAACTATCTGCCTCGATATATGGCTTTGCCCGGTTATTCCTTGCCTTTACGGCCCATTTTAGTTGTTGATATCCTAGGGAAGTAATGGATATGTACGCGTTTCGTAGTTTTCTGCCAGCAGAATAGTAGGCGGTAAGGCAGGGGTGGTCGAATACTTTTTGCACCCCACTGTAGATACCCTTGGTCGATTAACTCCGCTGTCTCCGATAAGGACGACATCGCCTCCGGACTGAGAGGAACCGCTTCATATATATATTTTCGTGCTTGTTGCCGTTCGTTGTCTCTGGTTTTGTATGCTTATTCTGTTTTCTTTTTATTCTGATCTTCTTTGATTTTAATCTCGATCAAGTATCAGGAAGCATCTTGTTACAGTCTTATTTTCGTCGGTTGTCTGGGTACCCATGTTTATCGACCACGTAATATCCGGAGTTCCAAATATTGAGGTATACACAGATTAATACTCTTGCGCCCTGATTACGTGCGCCTTCAGTTGGAGCATTTTATTGGAGTGGCTGGTAAATCTATGCGCCGAGCCTCTTGATTCCTAGGACATGGCGAAGAACATCGATTTCAACGCGCTGAAGGCGCGGACGATGGGCTCAGGGAACGACGAAGAGGCTGTCACTGTTGACACACGGGGCTTGATATCTAAGGTCCTCGCACGATATTCAGGAAAATGGTAAGTGATTGTTACCGTCTTGTTCTTGGTCCTGAGAGAACAGTACTAATGCAGAGTGGACAGGACCGTTCTACGAGAGATGATCCAGAATGCAGCGGACGCAAATGCTACCAAGGTCACTATCAAGTTTGAGACTCTGCCTTCTACGACTGTACCCTTGCCTGCTAGCGCCGATCAGACTACCTTGTTGAAACACACCATTTCCCACCATACCCTCAAGCGTTTGTTAATCTCGAATAATGGCCTTCCTTTCAGCGAGAAGGATTGGGCAAGACTAAAACGTATTGCGGATGGAAACCCTGACGAAACTAAGATCGGCGCATTTGGTGTCGGGTTTTACAGTGTCTTTGATGACTGTGAGGAACCATTTGTGTCTTCAGGCAAGGATGCAATGGCTTTTTACTGGAAGGGAAACGCGCTATTTACACGTCGCTTGCAACTTAGCGAAGAGTCGAATCCAGAAACAACATTTGTGCTTGACTACCGCAACGATACTTCTCCGATTCCCTCTCTGATGCAGCTGTGCCAGTTCTTATCAAGCAGTCTTACTTTCGTCAGTCTCGAGAGGATAGAATTATGGCTTGATGACTGGAATCTCCTGCGCCTCGTGAAGAAGACTGCACCCAGCGTTAATCTTACGATACCCAAAGACATTGAAACTAAGACGCCTCAAGGCTTGATGAAAGTAATGGGTATCACTCGAGAGGTAATTCAAGTCGACGCAGCCTGGATGCGTGTCGTTGAGTGGAATCCGAACGCAAGCGTGTTTCGCTTGGACGGACTGAGAGATACCACAGGCTCCTTGCGTACCTTTTTTTCCCGACTCACCGGTCAGAGCACACAAGAGAACCCTGCAAAGACCGAGAAACCGGAAAACATCAGCGAATCCGGAGACTTGGCCACCGTCTTGAAAGCATCCGTTTTCTTACATATCAGCACTGCAAGTATCCAGTGTTCCGTCAGTCACTCCCTGAGCAGCGAGCTTGAACGAGCTACGCGCAAGCCTCCACCCAAACGAACTACCCTTGCGATACTTACGCCTTCCTATGACACGGACGTTGCATCCGGAGTGTCAACGTCACGATCAGAGATCCTATCCTCAATTCTACCTACCAAGGCTGGAAGGGTCTTCATAGGATTTCCCACCCACCAGACAACAGGATTGAACGCTCACATATCTGCGCCTTCAGTGATTCCGACGGTCGAGAGAGAGAGTATTGACCTCAATACGAGATACATCAGCAAATGGAACCTTGAAATGTTACGAGCGGCTGGAATAGTCTGTCGAGTTGCTTGGTCCGCAGAAATGGCATCGATCAAGTCCAGAATCCTGTCCAAGATAGACCCTTCCAAGTCATCAAAGATCCGGAAAGATGACATTTTTGGAGTCTTGCCTGAAGCGATTTACACCGCGAATCAGTTTGTTTTCCGCGAGTCGACGCCGTCATCGGTATTAGGTCAAACTATCGAAGACGCCTTTTGGACATGTAATAAAAACGCGTCCATAGAGGTACTGTCAACATGTGGTATTATACAAAGTCATCAGGCACGCATTGCTCCCAGAGACTTGAGCTTCATGGACTCTATCCCGGTCCTGCCGGATGAGCTTGTGTCGGGCGCAAAAGATTTCGTCAGAAAATTAACTGATTTTGGGCTGGTCACGGAAGTCACCGTCTCGGATATCAAGCGAGAACTCGAGGCCAGCACCTTACGGCCCGGCCAGGTCATCGAATTCCTTGGTTGGTTAAGTCGGAAAGCTACTTCAGGGCAACTTGATTCTTTCTCAATCCAGAGCCTCTTGAGTGTTGCAGTGGCAAACGATGAAGATAGCTCCGGCAATCCTGCCCGACTACTTGTTTTTGGGGACATCAACAATTTTCTGAATCCCCAGCGTATACCTGTTGATTTGCCCGTGCCGTTCTCGGTCATACCTTTCAAATACTCCAAGTCTCTCTCGAAGCAGGAATTGGAAGCACTCGGGTGGACGGAACTTCAGACAGTTCCTTGGATCCGCTGGCTTGTCATCAATGCTGGTAATAGGGATGTTCTCCCATTAGAGCAAGATATGACGCAGATGCCGTCCTTCTCTGCGCAGGTTCTTCCTGTGCTGTCGAAACAGTGGGATAACGGCCTGAGCCAGTCATCGAAGCAGACGATTATCACATTGTTGCAGTCGCAGGCAGTCATTCCAACCAAACTTGGGATGAAAAGACCCGCTGAGACATATTTCTCTTCAGTGCGGCTGTTCGACGACCTCCCTGTTGTCCATGGTCTCAATAGCGTTAAGGAAAAGTTCCTCATGGCGCTTGGCGTTCGTAAGACTGTCGAACTTGGCGTCATTTTCGAGCGGCTCCTCGATAACCCCCAAGCTTCCGATGGCAAGGGCGACAATCAACGAAAGTGGAGTCACGTTGATCTCATACGTTATCTTGCTTCTGTTCGCGATGACATCCCGGCGAATGACATCAAAAGACTTAAGAATACTAGCATTTGCACCGCCGAAGCAACGGGAGACTCGAAGCCGGTAGGTGGAAAGCGATATAAGATTTTGGAGTTGTTTGAGCCGAAAGATTCCCTTAGAGACCTTGGTCTCCCCATCCTTGAATGGCCGGGAAAATATCAGCCAAGCAGCATTGAAGGAAAATTCCTTGCCATGCTTGGTTTGAGGAGTTTCCCGTCAGCGCCTGAGCTGATAGATGTTATGGCAAAGGCGGCTGCTGCGGATGACTGGGATTTGCACGGAAAAGCTATGTCTTACTACATTTCTGAGTATCATACAAACGGTTATGCCACGTTCGATTGCGGTGCTGTCAATGTTCCGTTTCTGCCAATTGAAGGGGCTCGCGACCTGAGCACACCAGGCAGATCTTTCACTGATGAAGGCGCAACACTGTTTGGTTTTAAGATTCTCAGACGTGACCTTCACCCTCATGCTTCAAAATTCGGGGTCAAGCAACACGCCGCCATGACGAGTTGTCTCGATTACCTGATCCGTCATCCACCATCCACGAAGCGAGACGCAAGAGTGCTGTTCAAGTATCTTGCTGGGAGAGTAGCGGAGCTAAGCGCACGGGATATAGAGCGTACTGGTAATGCACAAATCGTCCCGATCACCACAAGGGATACAGTCGAGCAAGGTTCGGCTGTTCGTCGTGTTGCCCCGAAGCTATGCTACCTTGGAGAGGGCGAAGATTACCGAGACATCTTTGACTTTGTGGATTTTGGTCAAGAGGCCAATCTCTTCCTCATGGCAGTCGGGTCTAAGAGAGAGCCAACAAAGACCGAACTTGCCTGCATGCTAGTCAAAGAACCGGCTAGAATTTCTGCTTCTTTTCAGAGTGCCGACAAGTATCTCAAGCTCCTGAGAAGTCTTGCAGAGCACCTTGCCGTTCTGAGACGGGACAAGGAACTCTTTACTGAGATGAAAAGGTCCACTTTTCTTCTGGCTAGTCGAGATATCACCTCTCTGGCTCAGGAAAAGGTCAAGAGCGAGGATCTTCTGGGCTCCGATGACGATGAGGTAGAAGATCAGAGCATCAAGGAATGGACGTTGACCGCTGCGAAAGATGCAGTTGTGGTGGACGATTTTCAGAGTTTCAACCTTTTCAAAGAGCACATACTAGCTGCACCGCAAGAGGAATTGTTAGAGAACTTCTACACTGCACTCGGAGCTATTCCATTAAGCGGACTGGTGGAGGAACGTGCCAACTGGGGAGCTGTGGCCCCCGATCAGCGTCCAGCGGCTAAACTGCATAAGCTGATCAACGAGCGTTCAAGGCTGTTTCTTCATGATCAATCCCCAGATTCAATTCGCCACGACGTCAGATGGCTGGAGAAG